CATCCCACACCCTAGGCCCCCTTAAAATAAGCCAGATCCCACAGCCTCTGTGTATGGGGTCTGGGGCAGATCCAGTAACCCCCATTGGGGGTGCTGAAGGGTGGGGTACAGGGAAGGGGGCCTAGCTGCAGGTGTCGGAAGTCCCATGATGGGGACCAGGAGTTCATGTGGGTGTTTCTGTGAAGGAAGGGAGGTGGAGGGAGAGCCTGCTGGGCAGAGCTCTGTGGGCAGGAGGGGATAGGCCACTCAGAGAGTCACTTGGCTTTGGAGGCTGTCACATCCCAGGAAAAGTTCTAGGATCAGAGGCCCTGGTGATTCCTCAGAGGCTGGGATCAATGAACAATTGGTGGCTGGCACCGAGGGGGAGAGGACAGCTTCATGCCTTTGATAGCACAAGTCCCCAGAAGGGTGTAAGGAGAGAGGGAGCCGGCAGGACGGCTGTCATTCTTGGGCAGGTGCGGCTTTTTGTGTTATAACTGGTAACCTCAAATCTCCACCTTGATTCTGGACCTGAAAGCAGAGCTCTGCTCTTGGCGCTCAGTAGGGTCATGCGCACGCACAGCAACAGCCTGATAAGCAAAGATTCTGGAACTAAGCCAGATGGCCCAGCTAAGTAGGCAGGCGCAGCTCTGGGTTCCCTGGAGGTGGTGGCCATGGTCAAAGAGGACAGGAAAGCATAGCTCCTTTCGGGGCGGGCAGGACATGATGTGTGACATGTTATGGACCTGAGGCAGATGTGACCTTGATCTTGACTCTGGGGCAGAAAGTCCTGCACAAAGGGGTGGCCCAGGGGTTGAGAGACAAGTTGGTTCCCTTCTAGCTGTGACTAGAATCCCATTCTCAGGCCTCTGAAATCATTTCTACCTTTAGGAGAAAAATTTCCGCCACGAAGTATGCAGCTAGCTGTTCGCCTTATCATTCATAGAGGGATTGCAGTTCAATAGCGCTATCTTTTACCTTGTGCCCATCTTCCTCTTGTCAGCCTGATGCTCAGGCTCTCAGAGTCCTGCTGCTTTGGCGTTAGTGGGAAATGCAACTGTCTGTCGCTCAGGAAACAGACTCCATGTAAGAAGCGCTGTCTGTATACGGCGGATTCCGATCCTGGGATCTTATTCAAGAGCGTGTCAGAGCAGCCACAGGATTTTGCACCTGAGTACAGACAGTGGGGAATGGAGAACCCCCTTCCCTGGCCAAGGAGACCCTAGCAGAGTCAGGGACTTGGCCTTATGGTGACACCACTGTCTCTTCCTACCAGGATGAGTCCAGTGCCCCAGAGAGCTGGCTTTTTCTGTGCTGGTTGGCATCCTGCTTGGGAGTGAGAAGGAAATGGTGTGTGTGTGGGTGTGTGTGTGTGGGTGTGTGTGTGTATGAGAGAGAGAGAGAGAGAGGTAATGGGGAAGGGCAATGTGTAGGGAGGGGTGGTTGATGTTTCTAGAGGTAAATCCTGCCCAACGAACCCCCAAACCAAGGAGCCACACAGAGTTAGCTGGATTGAAGTGGGTTCAAGTTATTTATTTTTAGAGTACCAGCATGTTTGGTTCTGGGTCCAATCCCCAAATTCCAGAAAAATAAACTAATGAGAACCACATGCACTAAGAGGAGGCCACTCCCACGTTTCCGTGATCATGCAGTGAGTGGGCTTAGAGTATAGGATGGGGGCCTGGTGTGGGGCAGAGCTTCGTGCCCCAGACAGCTGACAGCAGCTGGGGAGAGGGCCGGGGCCCGGTCATTTGGACCCTATCTCCATATGGACCTGGGCCCCTTATTGCTACATTTGCTACTTTGCTACTTTATGAACCCTGGGTCTAGCCCAGGGGATGCCTTATCACTGGGTGGTACTAATGAGTAGGTTGCTGGCATCTGCTGTTGCCATGGTTACACGAGCACAGGCCTCTCTTCAGAGGGTCCCATGGTGAGTTATTAGTGATTCATTTGGCCACTCTTCAACTTATCCCATGGTCTTTGCTACATATTCAACTTGGGCAGCTCCTTTTCGAGGCTGGTGGCACATTCTCTCCCTCCCCCTGCCCTCCCCGAGCCCAGAGCTTCCCAGCTCCTGGACACGGCAGCGACACCTCTCTCCAATACATTCTGCAAGGCCCAAAGGCCAAGAGCCCTTAATCCTTTCCTTCTTCTGGGAAGGCTTTCCTGGTGGTGGTTTTTGAAGCTCATGTATTTGGAGCAGAACAGGAGGGGATGTATTTTAGGAAAAACGTCATCTTCCACAATCACCAAGGGGGCCAGTTGGGTGGCAAGCTCCCGGTTCAGTGTCCTGTTGGTGAGGTAGTTTGAACATCCCGGGAATCCTGCCAGGAAAGAAGTCCCTGGAGCATGTCCCCACGTGTTTAGCTAGTCCAAGCTGCAACTCAGTGGCGAGAGGCCCTTCCCAGGGTGCTGGCCGGGCACCTGACTGCTCAGTGGTAGTGTGCCTGGAACGCAGGCCCGGCTGACTGCACTGGCAGTTGGGCCCTGCTTTGTTCCTGGGGTACAGCAACACCTTCCCAGTAGAACAAAGCCGATGCATCGCTTTCTGGAAGGGCAGGAGCCTCCTTTCTAGCCCAGAGAGTTCCTGCTGCTTTGGTCAGGCCGTCTGGCTATGGCTGGTCATTTATATGTGCCAACCTACAAGCTTTCCTCTTCCCATGTAGGGAGAGGTTATTTTAGATGCCAGTGCCTGGTGTATCTAACCCGATGGGTGGGTGGTCACTTGCTACAGCTGCCCTGACGCTGTGGCTGTGGCTGTGGGGCTGGCAAGTTGTGGCTGGAGAGCACTTTTCCTCATAGGGAGGAGTCCTAGGTCCAGAGACCACACCCGGTCAGGGAGGCGAAGGCAGCTTCTAGTGGGCAGGACTGGGTCGGGGAATCTGCTTTGCCACAGAATTGCCTGCAGACGTCTGATCTAGTCTGAAGTTTTGGCTGTGTAGACCAGGCCAAAGGGGGACGGGCCAAGACTAGATTTTCCAGATGTACTTGCATGACCAAGGTCTGCATGGTAGATGAACCTTGGGTCGGCAGCCTAGCTCTACTCCCTTCTTGCAAGCTCCTGGCTTGATCTACTGGGGAGCCTGGGCGCCTTCGCTGGGGGGTAGTGTGATTGGTTATTGCTCTGGATTTGAGCCCATCTGAAGTCCCTTAGCTCTGTTGTGCTTACTGACCCTCCCCTCCAGATGCCCCCAGAGGTGCTTGGAAGCCTGCAGCCAGCTCCGTCACAGGGCCACAGTCCACCTGGCTCTGGGCAGATCCTCTGAGGATCTCCAGGGTGAGACCGGTCAGAAGGAGAAGGGGGCCAGAAGGAATGGCCGAGAAGCCAACCCTGCCCTGTCTGCAGCCTGGCTTAGAATGCCCCTTGCACCATGGGGAGCAGCAGGGGGCAGCCAGGCCCCTTGTCCTGGATAACTGAGGGCACAGAGGTGCCTGCTGCTTGGGGATGCCCTTTGCCCTATGTCTGGGGGTCGGCACAGCCTGGGGATCCTTGGGCAAGGCTAGGTACAGATGAACTTAGACTGCAATTTTGTTCTGAAACAGGAGGTTTATGCAGAGAGAAATGGGATGAAAGGGGAGTGTCAAAAGACCCATAACTTGGAATGGGACTTCATGGCATTCATTTACTCACCCAGTGATTACTGAGTGCCTCCAAAGTACCAGCCTCTGTGCTGAGCATGTGCAGGTGTCCAGCAAGAACCTGGGTCTATACTGCTGCCTCTGGAGACAGAGCAGCACTGAGGATTCAAGATCTGTCATCTCTCCAGTTTCCACTGTACCTCCAAGAGAGGAACTATTACCAGTGGGGGAAACTGAGGCATGGTAGTCAAGAACTCACGCGGATACAACATAATGAAGACTCCTAATGCCCATGATGGCAATGCTGTGAGGACAGAAGGCTGCTGCCCTGGGGCCAGGGCTGTGTGGAAGCAGGCATAGGCAGGACTCGGAGGTGGCAGGGTGGAAAGAGGGGTCATCGAGGAGCACCCAGGAGGCTGGGTCTGCAAATAAGCAAGGATCTGAGCCTTTGGTAGTCACCGGCTGGTGAATTTGGCTACATGAGAAAAGAAATACCAGCAATCGCTTTATTGCCTCTATGTTTTTTGTTTATATGCTCCCAAGGGAAACTTTTTTTTTTTTAACCTATGGCCAAAAATAGATCAAAGGAGGATAGTCATAGCAAATGGGGGAGTGAATGTCTGGATTCAAAAACACGTTACTTAACACAACTCTGAGGGCTCCTGGGCGTCACAATGACAATGACAATGACAGTATTAGCTACCATTTGCTAAGCACCTCCGTGTGTCAGGCACCTGACCCAGTGTTTTACATATATTACCTCACAGCTGAGTTGAAAAATGGTCATTTTGACACACACAGAGGGGATACAGGTGGGTCTTTTGCAGGTTTTTGCATTCCCCGAGGCAACTGGTTTAGTGGGGGTGCTGTTGCTGGGCCTTCAGATAAGACTGGGAGGAGAACCCTGTGGCCTGGCCTGGTCCCATCATAGCATGCTCTGCCCCAGCTTCACACACAAAGGGGACCTGAACCAGCAGGGGTCTCACCACGCCTGTCAGGATGCCACCACAGGGGGGCTGCCAGCCCTGCAATCCAGCCGCCTCCCAGGCTGGGGACCCTCCCAGCTCCCATCTGGGGCTGCCGGAGGGGAGAATCCCAACGGCCCCTGAGTTCATGGCCATGTTTATTTTGAGTAAAACATGAGGGAATAAACCAAGGAGCAAGGGGGCAAAACCAGAATAAATTATGAAATAATTTTTGAAAAGATGGTCAGCAGAATCCCTGCAGCTGTGAAACAACAAGCTCTGTCATTGACACCAGTGCTTCCTCGAACATTGGACCCTTGAGACCTTTGATGCGATCCAAGGGCAGCCACCAGGCTGGTGGGGACCTCTCCAAATGCCGATCTCAAAGAGGGTGGGAAGAACCGGAGGTGCAGCAGTCCATGAGGTTGCTTTCTTGCTGAAGACGCGATTTGGACATTCTACGTGAAAGCAGTGCTTGGTGCTGGCGGTGACACCCGGGTGGCTATGCAGACGTGGTGACTGACTATGGGAGGTGCCAGGGAGGTGATGCATAATACTGGATGTGCTCCTGGTCCACTCATCCCTCTTGAACTTGCCAGAAGGTGTGAGCACCCCCGGACAGCGGGGGAGTGAGGATAATAATATAATCTCAGTGGTAGTTGCGACAGGAACCCTGTGATGTGTTCTGCCCTGAATGAGCTGGGATCAGGGCCTCTTAGCGGGTGGAGTGTTGGAACACAACTGTACAAGGAAGAGAGGGCTGTCGACAGGCGCCGCCGCCGGGCCGAGTCCGGGCTCTGTGGACTCTTTCCTTCTGGCCTCCCCGTTCACCCACCAGGTCTCCCCACTGTCGCCCGTCATGGCCCTCACTCTTTCTCCTTCACAGTGACCAAATCTCCCCGTAAGGAAACTCTGTCCGCGGAGGTGGAGCGCCGCCGGCTGCCCATGGGGTCCGCAGGCCCGGGCCCTGGACCTGCGCTGGGGACAGTCAGGAGGACTGCATCAGGCCCGTGAGGCGCTTGCCCGCCAGCGACTTTCCCTGCAGAGAGACAGCCGACAGAGAGGCACACACAGGCACACACACACAGATAGGGACAGAGACAGAGAGCCGGACAGGTGAATTAATTGTTGCCTGAGCCATGGAGGCCACACGACCGACCAACCCAACTGACCGCCTTGATGGTTGATCTCTGGCTATACGGGAGCCTTAACTTTGGACAGCTGGAGAAACCAGGGCTACAGGGACGGTTAGGGGAGTCCTGGAAGATCCCCTGGTGAGGTCGTGTTGCTGGTACTGTTTTGGGGGCGTGGGAATTTTACTTACCAAAACCAGATATTTAAACCCTCAGGTAGAGCAATTTTTAATGCCAGTGGGCTGCCCTGAACTTGATTTTATTCACGTGGGGAAGGAAAAGGTAGACTGGGGTGTACTGAGGACAGGGAGGGTGGGTTGACTCAAATAGAGGGTGACTCAGGATCTGGGTGATGCGAATCTAATGAATTAAATGAGTCTTAAGAAGGCAGAGTTCTGTTTGGAATGCAGGGTAGACGTGAAGGCCTTGAGTCCTCTTGATGATACCTTCTGGGACCGTGGAAGTGAGCGGCATTTGCTGGGGCTTGGAGCCACTGTAGGTCCCAGGGCAGTGCACTCCTGCTGTCGCCTATGTTCTTGGCTTCCCATCTGTGGCACCCACAGGTGGAGTTTGATGACCCTATGCCAGGAAACCTATAAACCCTTCAACTATAACCCATGTGGGAGATCCTCTCAAAAACTCAGACAATGAACTGAATCATGAGGCCGGGTGCCTCAGCCATAGAGGCGCCAGGAGAGGCCAGTTGTGTATGTGTCCTGGAGAGGTGGCGGAGAAGCCCCTGATCTAGGAGGGGAGTTGTGACTGGGCACCAGGAGGAGGGTGAGGCGGGGTGAGTGAGGCTCAGTGGCTTTGCTTACTGTCCTTACATAGTCTGTGCCTGATCTCCAGCTCACCCGCTTTAGAAATCCATATCACTGCACAGGGGTCTAGAGGAGAGTGTGGCTGGGCCCAGGCAGATTGATCACTGTGTCTGGGAAGGCACTCCAGACCCATCCTATTATTGACAGCACGTCAGCGACACCATTGCCATCTGTGAAGGGCGGCACGTGATAGCTCGTCAGCCTGGGCTGCAGTGTTTGGCCCTGAGATTGCAAGGGCCAGCAATTCCTCATGTTCATTTCCAAGTGGGGTGTGAGGGCTCATCTTGTTTACTGGGCTTGGCTGCATGTAAGCTAGATGTAATTAAAAAAATTGATCAGGTTTGTGAAGCCTGGTAGGGTCCTCAATAAACCTGCTGATTGATGAATTGATGGATAACGGGTCTGTCTAATAAACGAACATGGGCTGTGGATTTGCTGGATACAGGACAATGTGCATCTGGCTTAGATCTCCATGGAGGGGCATGGCCAGCCTGACTTTGAGAATTCATGGGAGTTTGTCCAGAAATGAAATTGCCCTCAGGAGCTGTCAGAAAGTCTGCCTTTCCCTACGTCTCCTTGACCTTTTTTCCCCCATTTCTTCCACAGCCCATTTTCACTAGACCAAGCTTACTTTTTTTCTCCCCATCTTAAAAAACACACACACGTACCCACATAATCTCCCCATCAGTAACACTATCTGAATCTTCAACTACACTAAACTTGGCCTGCAGCAGGATACATTTGTACTCTGCTAAGGAGTTTTTAATCAGATTTTTTAAAAAAAATCCGCGAGGGTTATGGTGTCGGTCTTTGAAAACCGCTAAGACAGAATGGCTATGCCTTTGTCTAGAGCACGTTAGGGACAACAATCGCTCTTAGAAGGCAGAGGCTGACCTTCAAGGGTTCCCCCCAGCCCCGGGTTCTGTGGCACACACCCAGCTGTGACTCTCCTTGAGTGCCCTTTCTTACATAGAGTGTGAGGCATTTGTCACTTGGGAAAGTGCCTTCCTGGTACAGGCCTGAAGGCAGGAAGCATGGGGTGTGGGGCATCCTCTCTGAGGAAATGCGGGGCTGTTGAGTCTAGGGGCCTGCTTGTGTGAGAGCTGTTAGAAACCTCCCCTACCCTGTTACCCATGCCCATCCCTGCCCCATGAGAGGCACAAAGGAAGTTTGCTCTCCTCTTAGGTGCTGCTTACTGCTGTGATCACCACCACACGCCAATATTGGCTCTTCCTCCTCCTCTCATCCCTCCTCCACCAGGACTACAAATCACACATTGTGTATCCAAATATATATATGTTCTGGGTTTGCAATCCACAGCATTTGGGGCTCTCATTTAGCTGGTGGATGGGGGGAAAATCACTCAAGCTTCTGAATAAGTCTGTTGCCAGCGTGTACATTAAAAAGCCAGAGACAAAGGAGGCGAGGTTTACCAGTTGCCCAAACCCTCACTGCAGCTTCATTCCTACTAGCAAGGTCATTTTGGCTGGAGCGGGGACTGTGGGTTGAGGGAAGTTAGAGATTCTATTTCTGGAGGATTCTGTGTCTATTTGTTTTAGGTGAATTTGGCCCTGAGGCTTCCCTACCGTCAACCCTTCCCCATTATACAGAATGGGCTGGGCTGGACTTGAAGGCGCTAATTAATCTCTTCCTGCCTAAATCCTGGAGCTCAGCCTCACAGTTCCGACTCCAAGGACCTGTGGCCAGCCTGTCACTGTCCGCTCCTCCGCTTCCCCCCATCTCTTTTATTTCCCAGGACTTCAGGGAGGGACGATGCGGCTGACCAGCCTAGGGGCCACCCCTGGGATTGTTCCCAGCCTCTCAGCAACCCAGGTGGTGCTACTTGGCATTTTTGTCTCCCTCTCCCCACTCCTGCTTTCGCACATTTACCAAATGCCAGCTCTGCTGCTAAAGATGGAGGTCATGAGGGTTCAGGTCTGCTTGAGAAGCAGCTCAGCCCAGCTGCAATCTACCCGCTACCCAGCGACCTCCTGGGTGAGTGAGGGCAGGCTCAGGCTGGAAGGCGGTTAATCATGCAGGATGCAGGCATGGCTAGATGCCTGGCCTGGGGCTTTGGGGAAGAAATACTGCAATCACACTTGCTCAGCAGCTGCCTCCCTTCTGAAGAGCTGAGGCTCCTGTAGTTTTCAGTGATCAAAGTGAAATTTGATAGCAGAGGCTACCTGTGTTCAGAGATGAGCTGCCCTGAAGTGCATGCCCCTATAGGCTTGCAGGAAGCTCTTGAGGAACTCTCTCTGCCCAGAGAGAGGGGAGCCCCTGCCTATTCCAGGGCGCTTACTCCCAACCCCCACTTTACTCTCATCCCTGCCTTCAATTTGGATGATCCTGAAGGAACCACTTTGGAAGAGGAATGGTAATTCTGCCTGCCTGCGCCTGGCATTTGCATAGTTACAGAGGAAGCAGTTTTTTTCAGGGTGTGAATATGTAATGTTCCTCAGTGCTGGTCAGTTGGGAACGGATCATGGTGCCAGGAAACTGCAGCCAGCTCAGCTCGAGGCCTTGGCGTAGCTGAGCAAAGCAGCTGAGGATGGTTGAAAATGCTATTAGCAGGCAGCCTTTGTCCAAGTGAAAAAATATACAGTGATTAAGAACTGAGCTGTAGAAGGTACATTCCAGAGACACCAAAGCCTTGCATACCAACAAAGTGCTTTTCACCTTTAAGACATTTGGCAAAGTGTAATCCAATAGAATTTGGGATCCTTCAATTTCATGGACAATGGGCTCAGTGCTGGGTTCACTAACACCCACGCATTCAATTCCCACCCTCCACTCTGATTAATCGTTTCAGCTCCGTGGCCATCTCGATGGCTAGAAGCCTGGAAGAAGGTGGTCATGGAATCCTTTGTTTCTGAAAGGAAGCACACAAAAGGAATGGCCCTCTTTTGTGCAGTGAGAAAAATCAACATGCTGCTTGACATGCTGTGGCTCTGTGCATTGCACTTCCACGTTAATCAACAAAGCATGCACTATCTGGGTTACCAAGAGCTTCTGCCACTTACTTACCTGGGAGCCTGATGCTAAACTCTTTGGTTGGGAGGAGGGCTGTGGCTCAGAGAGTAGCCCTGGGGTCAGATTGGGGCATATTGGGGGACAGCAGAGCCAAGCATTAGCAGCTCAGGGAGGACCTTTTTCAATGCTAAGAGAGTAAAGACATCTGAGCTTCTGATGAGATTCTTTTGCTGATATGCTCAGATGAAGTAAGACCAAAGTTACAAATCTCAAGTCTGCCAAGTCAAAATCCAGGCTATTATGGGGAAAGAAATCAACCATGGTTGCCCCTGGGGGAGGAGGATGAAATTGATTCGAAAGGGACATGAGGGAGTCTTCTAGGGTGATGGGGTATATGTTACACAGGTGCATACACTTGTCAAATTCATTGAGCCATACACTTCAGATCTGTTCATTTTACCATATATAATTATATATTAAAAAAAAAAGATTAGGAAAGACAAAGTCTCAGCTATCACATCTATGCCTTGGAATTTCCCACTCCTTACTCTTCAGTTGCTGGGCCCATCCCTGGCCTTGGAGAAATTCAATGCTTCCCCCTCCAACATAGGAGGAACCTGGATTCCTCTGTTATGGGAATTCGAACTTGCAACAGAACTTATGTGGAACACTATTTCTAGCTTCCATTGACCCAAATGGACCCCTTGGGTGTGACACAGACATTTTTCATCCTTGCTCATGAAAAATGGTGTTCTGTTGAATACAGCTCACCAAGCGACCTTAGCAGGCAAGAAGTGAAGACCCCAGAGACGAGCTGTTCTCTCAAGAAGCCTGAAGGTCACCTTTGAATAGATGGTGCTCAAGTTCATAAAGGATGTATATGTGTGAAATTAGGGTCCTGGGGCTGGGACTGGGGAGGCTTCCTGATGACAAGGGTCAGGAGCCTAAGAGACAGGTGGAAAGATAGGGGATCCTCGCTTGGGTTTGCAGGATTGGAGAAGTGAAAGGCCTACTTGACCTCATCGGGTGACTCCCAGAAGGTTATTGCCCCTGGTGCCCCGTCTCTACTGAGCAGAGCAAAAGAAATAATTTTAAAAAGGGAGTGCAAAGAATTCCATGGCATCTCCTTTCTCAATGATGTCTAAAACTGGGGAGAGAGAGTGCTGTCTGGGATGTCCGAGAAACACTGGCAGGCGGTGGTGGGAAAATCCACACTCAACATGGAATAATTTGAAAACACTTTTAAAATTCTCTATTTCTTATCACTCACTCTGTTCAACTCTGTGAAACAAGGTGGGGCAAATGAAATTGAAAAACCAGGTTATGGGACCCGCTATGGCTCCTCCACAACAGAGGTAGGTCAGAGTGGCATGGGAATGAAGGGGGGCCAGTCCTGGCTTTCTCACCCTTCCCCAGTGAGGAGGGGCAGGAGCCTGTGGCTGACCCATTCCTGGAAGCTGTGTTACTCATAGGTCCTTGACAAGCTTTCTGATCTCTCTCAGGGGCCAAAGGGCATTTAACATGATTTTAAAATGTTATGTTTATTTGACCCTTTTTAAATAGGAAGCTATATCACAAATATAAAACAATACCCCAGTTTTATAAACACTAAGGGATTGATGAAAAGTGAATTAATCAAAAAAGAAGTTCACTGGTTGAAGAATTAATATATAGTACACTCATGGATACTTAGAAGCTGTTAAAAAAATGAGAAATTTGATCAAAATAATTTTTTTTTTTTTTTTTGCAGTAGCCCCTGTCTTACGTACAGTGGTATAAACACTCAGGTTCTGCCTGGTAAACAGGGGGGATATGGGATCTACCCAGGAGTAGGTCATCTGAAAACAATTTCCATAGAATGTCACTGGGACCACTGGTAGGCTCAGACGCCTTACTCTATCCTGTATTGGTGGTATGGTTCGGCTCTGTGTCCCCACCCAAATCTCACCTTGAATTGTAATCTGTATAATCCCCATGTGTTGAGGGTGGGAACTGGTAGGAAGTAATCGGAGCATGGGGGTGGTTTCCCTCATGCTGTTCTCTTAATAGGGAGTGAGTTCTCATGAGATCTGATGGTTTTAGAAATGTTAATACGCACGTGCTCTCTCTTGCCTGCTGCCACAGAGGACGTGCCTCCTTCCCTTTCCACCATGACTGTAAGTTTCCTGAGGCCTCCCCAGCCATGTGGAACTGTGAGTCAGTTCAACCTCTTTTCTTTATAAATTACCCAGTCTTGGGCATTTCTTTATAGCAATGTGAAAATGGACTAATACAATTGGCAACTACCAGTGCTTTAAAAATTTTAAAGTTTTTGAATTTAGAAAAGATGAGTTGCCAGTTATCCTATCTGGATTAAATGTAAAAGGACCCACCTATCCCCTGATTTCCCATGGGCCTTTCTCTTTGAGTTTCTTATTCCAGTTTGATGGAGTGGTGTGGATAGCTCATGTACCCTCCCTTCTCAAGTGTCCTGTTCTTCAAATCACCCAGGCCTTGACAGTGGCATGGTGGGAATGGTCCCCCCGCTAGGAACACATGTAGCTGTGAGGACAGTTACTAACAGCTACCTGCTGATGGACCATTGAGCAACTATTGTGTGTTGAGCACGCGAAGCATTTTATAAACACCTGGACTTATGTTCACAACATGCTTGCCAGTTAGGCATTTCTATAAACTCCACTAAATGAGCAAGGAAACAGACTCAAACAGAGCTTGAGTAACTTGCCTGGGAGTGCATGGCTAGTCGGTGGCAGAGCTGAGTTGGTTGGCCTTCACGACCCATGCCTCTCTTCCTTTGCATGTGGCTGTCATTCTCAAGGAAGGAGGCAGATGGAAACACGTGGGGACGAAGGAGTCCCCCGTGCCCACCCACACCGGGCAACCTCTCTGGGCAATGCAGGGTGATTTTCTCAACTTCCCTGAGAAAGGAACTTAAGCTCTTGAGCATGCTTGAACCCATCTCAGGCAGTTTCTACCCTGCGAAGGGGCTTCCTCTGATCCCATTTGGGAATCCTGAGGGAAAGGAGGTACCATCTGCTGGCTGGCAACCCCGGCAAAAGGGGCTTTGGTTACTGCTCTGAGCTGGGCGCAGGTCACCATGGCTTGGTGCATGTAGATTTCAGGTGGTGGCTGCTGGACAGGCTGGGTGAAGTCAGCATTCTGTTTGTGGCCCTGTGTTACTGGTGCTGATTCCTCTAGGAACACACATGGCAAAAGCTCCAGGGAGGACAGAAGCAGGTGTGATGTTCACCATTCTTAGGTGGGGCAGGCAGGGTGGCCTTACTCAAATGAGAACCAATCCCACTTCAACTCATTCTAGGTCAAGTGCCTAATTCAGGGTGCCCAGCTAGGTGGGGGGGGGAAGCCTTCCCTGCTGGTGTTCCTGGCACCTCTAACCCTGCCCCCACCATGCTCATCACCTACTTCTGCCTGTCAGTTTTGCTGAGTGATGGGGGCCTTTCTCCATGGTTCCCCAGCTGTGCAGGGACAAATCTGGAGCCGGGCAGGGATGCCAGGAGAGACAGGCACTCGGCAGCAGAGGCCTACATGAGTGGAGAATGCCAGACCCAGACTCCCCGGCCTCACATCCAATTTGTGCATTGCACTTTTCCCTGCTACTCTGTATCCCCGTGTGATGGAAATGCCCCCTTTTCACACCAGCTCTCTCTCCTCTCACCTGACTGAACAATCCTGTTGCTCTTTCTACTCTGAGGTTGCAGGAAATTCTTGGTGGCTTCAGGAGTAGAATGGAGGGGGGCATTCTGCCTGGAAGGTCTCTCAGTGGCATGCCTTCCTGTGACCCACTTAATGCCTGCCTGTTCCTCTTCTCTTCCTCTTTCCCAAATGGACTCTGGGATCTAAGCTCTGCTTCACTCCAAATTAGGCAAAGACCAAAAGACTCCAGGGAACAGGGACATGGCTGTGCTGCTATTGGCAACAACTTGATGCTACTTTTTTCCAACTAGGAAATTCAAGTAACCCTTGACTATGACTATGGGAGACAGTGAAGCTGGAGTTTAGTTACTCAATACTGTGGATGAAGCAGAAAGTTATTTGCTTGGCAGTATGTGATGCTCCCAAGGACCCACGAGGACTCTGACTTCATCCTCCTAGGGACACTTATCACCTCTTGCAAATGTGTTCACCCAAAACACATACGTTTGTTGGGGTCCTTGGTTTAGCCAGCTAACGAGGCAGAGCCTAGAATTGCTGACCTCTCATCCCCTCACAAAAGCGTAACACCAGTGAATGCCCATGACCATTTGGATGCATATGCAAGGAGGGCTGACTCATTGCTCTTTCTTCCCCACGCTTAGGAATGCAATGAGTAGGCACTTACCAGACATGCATTCCTAACCTGAAAAAGTACAGCAGGGAACAGACTAAGCAGCATTTTCAAGAGATACCTGGACAGAAACTTGGGTCATTGGAATTCTTAGCTGCAGGGAACCTTATTTCCCTACAGGCTCTTCACGGGTTGCTGAGATGCTATCGGTCCCAGTGGGACAGGGGATGGGCTGTTTCCCAGCTTTCTTCTCCCCTGATGGTGTAATGTGTAGAAATGTGAGATTGCTATGTTTTCTGCAGGACTTGGCCAAGGGCCAACAGAGGAAGAGTTATGGCAGCTTTTGCCAGGAAATGAAGCCTAAGGATGCTGCTATTGGATTTAGAAGCATCTTCAAAGATTGCGGGCATTCCCTGTTCTGCTAGGGAATGGGGACCAGGAGAAGAGTTACTGAGTCAATACCTAAGGATATTATCTGTACATTGCCTCTGGGACAAGGGATTCATCTCAGCATCATTTCTGGACCCCTCAGCTCTTTGTTTCTTAAGAGAGAAAAATCATGGGTACAAAAAATGGGCAGCAAACATGGAGACACCAAGAAATGGGTGCTGCCAACTGTCCCTGGAACCAGGGCATGAGGACAGAAGTGGTGGGCGGAGAAAAGGCCATGGACAAACAGATCATCTCTTTTGGATTTTGGAACACCTTCTGTGCAGAAGGATCCCACAGGTTAGAGAGTGTGCGAACGCCGGGATCACTCACCCACTGCTGGAAGGAAGCCACCTCGGGGGTGAAATGCAGCGGCCATTCTGACTCTGCGCCAGCAGCACTAGGCAATTGTGTTTTTAGGAAGGGAAGTGAAGAATAACTTATCCAGCTGAAACTGTGAAGACCTGTGGCTTTAGAGGAGCCCTGCCCAGACACACATACAGCTGCAGCGGGCATGCAATCCATGCAGCAGAGACACCTGCAGGTTTGCAGCGTATGATTCTACACATACCATACTCGGAACACAGAGGCGGACATCAGGCAGCCGGCACATGCACCTGTGTATGCATTCATGTGCATGTTTAGACCACAGGCACTTAGAGAAGCATCTCATGCAAGGTGTACAGGCAATTGTTTGGCTGTAGAGTTTTATATCAGCTCCTAAGATGCCACTCTGACAAATACTGCAAACTTAAAGCATTCACCTTAAAATACATATATAAAAACGGAATCCTCCCCCATGAAAAAGCCATTTATTCACCTCCGTGGAAATGGCTTCTCCACTCCTGCTTCTGTCGGAACTATAGGCAGTAGGAATGCCCACCCCAGGGGTCTGGTTTATCAAGGGATTTCAAAGCATCCCCTGCTTCTGACTCCTCCACTACCTTGCTTTGGAACAAGTGATTAAAAAATGGAAACCTCTGTTTGTCCGACCGATGGAGCAACTAGACTTTGTTGAGGTTGCATTGCTCAGGGTGGCTCCAGGCAAGCAGACAGCTGAGAGGTGAGTGTTTCTCTCATGTGGGGGGGCTACATTCGGAGGAGTAGGTTTCATCTTCTTATCATGGGTAGACCCATTCCTGATCTGTGTCTGGTAGTAGGAGGCATCTTCAGGTCCTGCACCTCAGTAAGGGGCCAAATGCCAGATCCCCACAACACATGCACCATTTGCCCGCTGGCCCTCCCCACCTCCCATCACCTCACAAAAGGCTGACAAGCCCCGTGGCTCCCACAGCTTCCTGGGAAGTGCTTAGGGCTCAAGGAAATTGACCGCAGAGCAGGAGCTGGCCTGCTGGGCACCACAGTCCCTTCATTTCCAGGAAATACAGAAAAACTACCTCTCTGAGTTGAGTTTAAAAATAAGCCAACAATAAGAGCTACCATTTATCGAGTAGTTACCATGAGCTCATCTCTGTAATAAATGTACTTTGCACGCACTGTCACATATGAGATACCCACATACCCACCCTCAAGCACAAAATAGATATCATCATGCCAACCTTGCAGAATACTGTTGGAAATTAAATAAGATAATAAGTGCAGAGCTAAGTATGAGCTGGCTGCAAATAACATCATAATGATGAAACTAATTCTAACAGCTATACCTATTAAGCACACACACCGTACGCAGTGTGCTAAGCACATTGTGAATTTTATTCCTACTTACTTACTCTTATTTCCCTTTTATGGATGAGGAAACTGAGGCTTAGAAAAGCTGTGCAATTCACACAGCTAAGGGATAGAGCTGGAGTAGAACCGCAGTCCCTCCCAGGTGAAGCCAGGACGGCACAGTGCTGTCACATTATGAGCTCCCGATAAACGGCGGCGCTTGCTATCACGCCCTCATCTAATGCCAGCCTCTTCCCCGTGCAGTGGGCTTTGTTGTACCCACCGGGCATGCAAGTGACTTGCCCAGGATCATATACTTCTATCAGGTGGAGGAAAAGGGATTCAGTTGGGGTTGTCTGACCAAACTTAGCTTATTTCTGTGCATTGTGGTGGGTACTAAAGGGATGTGGTTCTCAAGAGGTCACACAAGCTGGTCATCTTCGGTAGTGGATGAGAATGCAGTTAGAGGAAATGTCCCTGTCAGGTTTTTGACATTTAGCTCCAGGTGGTTGGTGCTGCTCAGTCGCAGTCCAGCTCCTTGCTCTTTTGACACACGGGCAGTGTGGTAACTGGCTACCTGCACAGTAGAAGGCAGTTTGGTGGGTGTGGGACTGTCAGCCACGGGCAGCCAATCAGGGGCCTCTCAGAAACACAGTCCTGCTTGGGCAAGATGCACCTCCCTGTGCTGTCATCTGTGTAGTCCCAGGGAATACAGAAATAAAGGAAACCTGGATGAACCTGCTTACACATACAACCCACACTCATGATCTCCTACAACTCTGATAACTCTTTAAGAAAGCTACGGGTGGGGCACGGTGGCTCATGCAGCCCGTTAGGAGGCCGAGGTAGGCAGATCACTTGAGGTCAGGAGTTTGAGACCAGCCTGGCCAACATGGTGAAACTCTGTCTCTACTAAAAATTCAAAAATTAGCTGAGTGTAGTGGTGCAGGCCTATAATCCCAACTACTCAGGAGGCTGAGGCAGGAGAATCGCTTGAACCCTGGAGGTGGAGGTTGCAGTGAGCTGAGATTGCGCCACTGTCCTCCAGCCTGGGCTACAGAGCAAGGCTCTGTCTCAAAAACAAAAACCAACAACAAGAAAGCAAGCTATGATTGCTAGCCAAGAATGAGATCTGAAGCTGAATCATTACCAAGGAAACCTCTATCAGGTGTAAAACCACAGGATCGTAATGACTCAAAGGCTAGTGATTGCTTTAATTATTTAGGATTATGGATGCCTCAGAACCTTCCAGTATTAACCAGGGCAGAGCACCGGTCAGAATTCCCCCACTACTTTTGCTGCAGATGACAAGGTTGGGTTGAGTGTTGTCTTGGATGTCCCATCTTCCTTTCCCAGTGTAATCTGCTATGATGTTAAGGCCAGGCTTTTGGTCCTTGTCTGACAGTCTGTCTTTTCCTATCAGGCATGGGGGCTCAGATGCACTTGACACTTGGTGCACATGGAAAAGGCCAGGGGCATGGTGTGGAATGGCTCTCCAGCCCTGTGACTAAGAACAGGCGCCCTCTGTCTCCCTGCCCTCCTTCTCCCCCACCTTTTATACCCAGGCACCAACTGTGCCTGATAGGGTTTTAATGGAATATATGAGGGAACATAGCAGCAATCAACCCTGACTGGGCTTTCTTTAGCTGTAAGAAGTGTCTTATTAAAACTTTGCTGACTTTACCAGGATTGCCATGCTTAATAAGAGGCCTCAAAGAATTTGAAAGCAAAAGATGAAGAGAGGAAAAAAGCCACAAGCTGTAATCACCATAATTATATAATCCACGATGAGTTGAAAGCAGCTCTGGTGAAGCCCAAGAGAGGAGGGAGTATCACCGGCAATCTGGTGGCTCTTAGGACAGCTGGAAAGAATGTGACATAGGAGCCTTTTCCTTCCCCTGAGCTGGGCTGAGAACAAGGCCCCCCCAGCAGGGCCCCAGAGGAGGGGAGCTGGGATGGGGGGACAGTTTCTCCTCAGGCTGAGGTCTCTGGGGGTATGCCCTGCTCCTGGCCAGCCTGAGGTGTTTTTTGTTTTTGTCTGAGATGGAGTTTTGCTCTGTTGCCCAGGCTGGAGTGAAGTGGTGTGAGCTCAGCTCACTGTAACCTCTGCCTTCTGGGTTCTAGTGATTCTTATGCTACAGCCTCCAGATTAGCTGGGATTACAGGTACCCACCACCATGCCTGGCTAATGTAATTTTTTTTAGTAGAGATGGGGTTTCAGCATGTTGGCCAGGCTGCTCTGGAACTCCTGACCTTAGTTGATCTGACCGCCTTGGCCTCCCAAAATCCTGGGATTACAGGTGCCTGCCACCACATCTGGCTAATTTTTGTATTTTTAGTAGAGATGGGGTTTCAGCATGTTGACCAGGCTAGTCTCGAACTCCTCACCTCAGGTGATCCACCCGTCTTGGCCTCTCAAAGTGCTTGGATTACAGGCATGAGCCACCACCACCCAGTCAGCTCAGGTGTTTTTGATGTCAACTCATTTACCTGAAGTCTGCAACTGGCATTGGGTAAAAGGCAATTGACTTCATGATCCTTTTTGCTTTCAACAAAATGCCTTTCCAGATGGGAACTATGACAGGAAGAGCTTTCTTCAACCACGGGCCAGGACGCCCCAGGCACATGGCCACCCTGGCTGTGCTGGGGCTCACTGCACCACGGTTGCCAGTGCCCTGTACCAGCGGGCACCTGTGTCCTCCACTCACTGACCTCTTTTCAGGCATTCGGGAGAGAAAGCCCTGTTGCCCAGAGCTCAGCTGCTGTGGCAGCAAATGACAAAAAAAAAAAAAAAAAAAAAGGATGACATGTGAAGGGCAGTGATTCCACTTCCTGACGGTTTCCCTTGCTTTGAGTGTGTCATCGTGTGGCTTTTCCTCCCTCAAGGCAGAGTCTAGTCTGAGTCTTTCAGATCCCTCCCCTCTGATCTTGGCAAACTCCCTCCATATAATTCATTCTCCTTTTCCACCACTTATTTATAAACCACAGAATGAAATGCAGTAAGATCCATTTAACAGCTATTTGGGGCAGCATAGAATTCCAGTTGCAAAACAAAGATCTTGGGATCTGGTGTAGAAACCTACTCTATACTATCCTTGGCCATTCACCTTCTAAACAGCGAGCCAGGGAGCTCGTTGTTAATTTGAAGGGATGTAGTCCATAGTTGGGATATCTTGTTATTGTTAGAATATTTTTAGTATCTTTTTATTTTCTAACCATTTGTTCCAGCCTTGCTCTTTGGAGCAATCGAGAAGTGTCCACTCTGGAAGACAAATGCAGAGAGCTCACGGTGGCCATCGTGTCTGCTGGGGGCTAGACATTTTTACTTCCGTCTCTTGCAACATGGCTTCCAGAGTCCCTTTCTCTCTCTAGTTCTTCTCTCTGAATTGTTTCTAGATGTTAACGTTCCCAATAATGTGGGGGCTTAGAACAAAGACTTAATATTGCTTAGAGTGACAAAAAGCAATGGAACACTTCTCCTTTCTCTGACCATCCCACTTTTGATATAGAGCCTAAAGTTGCCCTTTGGAAAGCAGCTGCATTCTGCTTTTACTTACACTAAGCTTGTAGTCAATGACAACCCAAGAACTTTTTTTTTTTTTTTTTTTACTTGATTTTTAGGAAAGGCTACAAATGCTATCCTGTGGTTGGGAAACCAAATTAAGAAAGCCCCTTAACTATGACCAGATAAAACGTTATCTGGCTGTTTTTGACCCATCATCCCTGCTGCAGGAAATGCTTTCCAAATATAATTCCATTATCTACCAAATGAGCCACACTTTGGAGTTCTGGATATTGGAATGTGGTTGGAAGGTTTGTCTCTTCATCCAGGTCATCAAAAAGGATGTTGGATGGTCCATGGCTGAACCCTTGTGGCCCACTACCAGACACTGCCTTTCCAGCAGACATAGATGGATTCATTCACCCTCTCACCTGCCATGAAGACACTGAATATACTCACTTCACCCACATAGGAGCAAACGGAGGCAAGTGGAGGTGAGCAGGGGGAGGGAGGCAGGAGTGGACATTGCTTTCAACCTTATTGTGCTTCTAACAGGCCACATGTGGTTTTTTTCTGGAGCAGGGCATGTATTTTTTAAGGTTACCCTTCTACAGTAAGCCAGACTGCCATGGTGTGTGTAGAGAGAATCTGCCAAACATTACACTAACGAGGCGCCTTCCCATTTGTGGCCATGGTGCTGTTGCTCAAGCTGATGTGATTTGACCATGATTAGGGAACATGGAAGAACCACTGCCCTGTGGGCCCTGCCACTGCCAGGGTGACTCCATGCTTCCAACCCATTGGCGAGCCACTGAGCAAACACCCAAGGGTCTTTCTCCCATCCACCTTTGGGCAAACATGACAAAACTAAAAATCCCACTGCTCTGAGCTCTTCTAAGTGCCCCTCCCTGCCACCAGCAGTGTCCCATGTAGCCACTCAGCTGGAGGGCAACATCTTACAAGCTGTTCCTACCTATGGACAGATATCGTGCCCTCCTTCCAAAATGTCATGCTTTCCTAACTCGAACTAGGGACACTCATTTGATATTTTAAAAAGGGAAAGCATCCCCTGTGGTTTCCATCAGGAGCTCGTTCTAGGGGGACTTCCATGGAGGTCTTACTTCTTAGCCTTTGAGGTCCTTAGACTTGAAGTGCTCTGACTTCTCTTTGAACTTTCCAGTCTGGACCACAGGCAGAGTTGGATCTCCTCTCCTTGACCTTGACATTGGCAGTGCTGTCCCCTTGCCAGGCTCCTGCCATTGGATGCTCTCTTTCTGGCCCCTTCTGCTGCAGTGCCACTGCTCCCCAGATGGGACTGAGGCAGGCTCTGCTCTTGGCAGAGGTGGGCATCCTGTCTCCTGTGTGGTTCACCTTCCCATGGTTTATCCTGTGGGGGGGGTCCTACACTCCCCGCCTTCTTACCAGGCAGGTGGGAGCCCACGCAGTTCCTATGTGACTGCACAGGGATGGCACCAGGGTCTGACTGCACATGTGACGAGCAGGAGGCCAAGACCCCACAACCCCACTGGCGGCTTGTGAAGTGAGAGCGCCTTCCTGAGAGGGGGTGGGAGGAAGCCACTGCCATGGCGAAGGGCTGCAGGTCACCTCCTGAAATAGATCCCTGCCTGGCACACACACACTTTGCCCCCAGCCTGCCTTGCTGGAGACTGGCCGGGTATGCGATTTGGATCTGAATCAGTGGCTGTAAACACACAGCTGTGTCCTTCTGCCTTCAGAGGATTTGATTTTCACTTGACTGCTTGGCACACTGGGGTCTGGGGAAGGCAGGAGAGGGCCTGGGCAGGGGGCGAGGGAGGGCTGGTGAGGGAAGGCCAGGAGCGGCTGCCCCCACCGGGCCCCGATCGCCCCACGTGTCCAGAAGCTGAGTTACGAGTGGGGTTTTTCTCCAAGTGGGCACTCTGTGGGGAGGGCATTTTGGCTTCTTTTGGCTGACAGGTTGAATTATCAGCGGGAACAACTGGGGTTTTTTCCTTCCAAGGGAAATGCCAGGGTCTAGGGCCCAGTGTCTCAAAAATGACAACCAACCTGTGGCCCTTTAGGATAAATCAAAGCCTCGAGATTCTTCCCTGTCGACCCCGTGGGGAACCACTTTGCCACTGTGTCTTCTCTGCACCCACCAGCCTTGCTGAGTCTGTTGTTTTGCATTTTATAGTTTATTAAAAAAAACTTACATTTTCATTTTCCAGCTACATAATAATAGTAAATATGCTTTTCCTAATTTCCCAGGGCCGAGATAAAAAGTGAAGTATGGAGGAGCTGTAACCTGGCCTTACCATGGACTTCACCACTGATTGTAAACAAGGTAACACTGTCTCTCATCTCTAAAAGAGGACAGCAACAAGCTGGCCCAGGGTTCCCTAGGGAACCAGAAAGCCTGGTAGCAGGTGAGCAGCAGTGTGTGCCGAGATTCCCAAATGCTCACATTTCATCCTTTCCCATACTCGTAGGGCCCCTGAGCCCCCACAATGCATGCAGTGATGTGGCAGCACCCACCCCGGTGTCCACCTTTCTACCCAGCTGACCCCACCTGACACACACACAGCTGGGCACCCAGACCAGAAGGGCGGGGAATGCAGAACTGGTGAGGCTACACAGTGTGGGGCACTCATCCTGTTCTCTGTGAGTCCTCCCTGGGCCTTCAGCAACTCACTATATATGAGTGAACCTGAACAACCCAGCAAGGCCTGTGGGGCACTCAGTTCCCCTGCCAGTGCATGTCCAGGGTTTGTAAATACACCCAACTCAACTCTATCCACATTTATCTCCCAGCCTTATAGGCTGGCAGGCACTTCCAAATCAGGAAACTGATTGGGCAGGAAGGTAGCTCCTCTCCCATTCCAAGGAATAAGCCATATAACTCAGAAATCTCAGGACAGAGGGAAGCACAGAGCTGCAGAATACTCCTAGCTGGAAGGGATGAGATGACCCAGTCCAAGTCATGTCAGAGGAGAAAACTAGGGCTCAGAGAGGGCTAGTGATTTGCTTGAGGTCACACAGCTAGCAAGCTGAGGCTGGAAGCAGGAGCCACTCTGTGCGGTGGCTTCTGCGGTATCTGAGTCCCAGGACTTGGCCTCGCTGCTTGAGGCAGGTTTCCATGCTTTCCCTCCCACTTTGATGGATGTCTCCCTCCAGATCCAGCCAGGGCCAGGGTTTTACTGCAGCTGAATCTCAGCGCTCTGAGATGGGAGAGGCTGGCACAAATGTTTGCGACCCAGCAGTCCCAAAGGAGTCCAAGGACTGTTCGCAATAAAAAACTAACCCCTTGAAAAGATTTTTAGTCAATTGGCCCTTGCCAGAGGCCTGAAAAGATTATTTCAACTGAGGTCAAAGCCCTCTGGGGACTCTGCTGAGTCTAGGTGTTTGGGAACTCATTCCACCGAGGTGCTGCGTGACTGTTCACCCGGAAACCTTGAGGAGGGGAGAACAATACCGCCCTCCCGGGGCAGGCAGGAGCACTCGGCTGACTGCCCTGGTTGTCTGCCTTCCCCTCCCCTGCTGACAGCCTCAGCCCTCCACTTCCGGTCAGCACCTGGGCCTAGAGCTGGGGGTTTCTCTCTGCAGAGCTGCCTGGGGCTGGGCGTGTGGGTGAGCTGCTGACTTCTTGGCTCTCATTAGCTCTTCCTTGGCTTTTGGCAGAGGAAGGAAGAGGGGGAGGGAAGGAGGGAGCGAGGGAGGCTGAGTGGCAGCTGGCTCCCTGAGCTTCCCGCTCCCCATCTGACTTGCCTGCTGCATTCCTTGGCAGGCAGGACAGGAAAGCCTGTCGCAGAGATGCCACCCATCACGTGCCAAGGCTTCTGCAGCTTCCGGCCCTTGCTGCCGCGATTCCAAGGAGCAACTTGGCAAAGCGAAACTTCGATGCTCTCTTAGGAGGTGGATGAACGCCTGGTCCTCCTCTCTCCTCTCCTCCATGGCCTCCAGTCTTGCTCTGGCACCAGCAACCCATTTCCCGTCTTCAGTGCCCAAGGCTGGAGCCGACGACGCTCTCAAGAGGGTAGGTGAGTTTGAACTGAGCGCCTGGACAAAGGTACCCAGGGAGGCTGACGCCAGCCTCACTTGGGGCTATGTTTTGCCTGGCCAGCTGGGCATCTGTGAGGTTGGGTCCACCAGAGGGAGTCTTGTTTTCCATTTTGGATGAATGTGTGTTGCAGGCTAGGTGCACCCCGCCGTGGACTTCAGTCACATTTGGCTCAGAACCTGGGCCCTCCTGATCAAATGAGCAGGGTGTATGGTTTCTATCCACAAAATGACAGGATGCTTAGCACAGGGTCCCCAGAGGTTTGCTTTGTATGTCCAAGTCCTGAGTGACATGGAATGAAGCTTGCATCGGAAAGAGAAGCTCCCCCAGCACTTTCTCCATTGACAGGGAAGTGCCAGGCCTCTTCAGCACCCAAACTAACATGGCCCTAAAGAAACCGTGAACCATACCAAACATCTTAGGATCTCATGGAAAAGGGGGCATGTGTGTTCTTAACAGATAATCCCTCTATGACATGGCACAGCTTAAGACTTGGAAACAATTTGTTTTTTCCACGTTTGTCTTCTACCAAAAAAGAAAGGACATTGGCATTTTCTGGGGAGAAATTCTGAATTCAGATTCAGTCTTGACAAGCCTCCAGCTGAATGATCTATCCAATCACCTGGATAGATTTTTTTTTTTTTTTTTTTTTTTTTTTTTTTTTGCCATTCATTAATCCTAAATGGCAGCTGGCCTCCCGTCTTTGGTCCGTGCCCTGCCCAGCTTCACTCCCCCATTTCCATTACTGGCCCCGCGACGTGGGTCGTGTTCTTATGCTTCTCTCCCAGCAACACGGAATGTCAGGAACGAGCCCTTCGTTTAGTTTATAGCTTGCAGTACACAGCAGATGAAACATTCATGTGGATGTTCTCGTAGATAAATCAAATACTTTATGCATATGATATTCAAAGAACGGCTATCAGATTGCGAGGCATATTGGTTAGTTAGTTCTGTTTGATGAGACCACTGGGCTATTGAGATGAAATTCCTGCATTCCAGTCTTAAGTAATCTGAGCGCCAACACATGGGTCATCTCCCTAAACTTCCATAGCTGTAGGCCATATCCCCAAACTTAGCCACATCTTGTGGGGGTATGGTGTCACCCCAAGAGCATGAGGAGCATGAATGAATGGCAATCCATCTCCACCAACGGAACCCCAAATTACAAATACATCACCTATTGAGAATCTTGTTCATAAAGGAACAGCAGGGAATTTGGGTATTTTATTTTAAGTTGGGGCCTTTTATCCATACCCTCTGGACTCCTTCAGCTCACCCTGAAACTTTGTCAGTTCCCCATGTGTCCACTTCAGACACTTGGGGGTGACTTGGTGCTTTCTTGTTCCAAATGCTTTGCTAACAGACCTTGGAGAACCACTGAGCCAACATCACTTTTGGGATGAAGGGAAATCAACAAATGCTCCCCACAGAGCTGCGGCGAGACCATTCTTGCCTTTCCTGATACTCACTTCTCTTGAAAAGCAGTGCAAAAATTTCTGGACATCCTGTTCAAGTACCCGGCTTCCTCTCTCTCACCTTCGGCCTGTGCGGTCACCCTGAAGGGCTTCTGGGGGCTGTCAGAGCTCTGCTTTTTTACAGTTTGTACCTGAGAGTCACAGGTACTCTTGGCTTGTCAGCAAAATCGCTAAACACCCTCTACCCACAGAGTAGCCAGGCCCAAAAGAGAGAGATGGGACCCCACTACCTTCTCTCAGGCCATCATGGGTGAAGGAAGGCCCAGAGGCCTTGCCTCTGACAGCCCGTGGCAGCTTCTCAGTGTGCGGAGCCACACGGCCATGGCAAACCAGCCATGAAGACAGGCGAGGTACCTGCAGGCCTTGTATTCTGTACCTTCTGATTTCTCACGAGGGAAAGCCATGGAGAGGGAAGACAGAGGAAGGGAAGGGATGAATACCAATTTTTAGTACCCACCTACTAGTTATTTGACATTTACATGTAGCAAATTGAAGACAATGTTTAAAGGCATTTAAAATGCATCTAGCTATGACAGGTCAGTGACTAGGTTGCTTTCAACCTGAGATCCTTAGACTTTTTATCTTAAAAGGATGAAATATGCATACCAGTCACACAGTAGTCAGATTTTACAAGGACTTTCCTCTTCAGCAGAGGTGGAACAAAGGCAAGTCAGTATCACTGGGCTGCCGCCCTTCGGGAAGGGAATGTGGACAGTTCCCTGGGTGGGACCCCTGCACCCTGGTTGTGATCTTGGTTCCCTCCAGTTTGCTATTCATGGTACAGGCAGGGCCCTGTGATTAAGCGGGATTGGCTATTTCTTGTGCACTGAGCTCGATGTTCACATCTTGGGGTGACCAGCATGGAAAGAGGAGATTGGCCCGTGTTGTTCTACAAAGCATGGTAGAATGTCTCAGCCATGCAGCCCAGGAAGAGCCATGGTCTCCCCACTCCCACCTGTTGCCACGGCCGTCTTGACGTGCCGCTGCGGGAGCTTTACCACTCTCCAGGCGGGGCGGACCATGAAACTATAGGAGCCTAAAGCCCATCTCGACCCACCCTGTCAGAATCAAGGCCTGAGGAGGCTGTGAGGACCTTGCCCCTGGGAGTACCCCAGACAGCGCAGGTATTCAGCTACTGCCCTCCTCTCCCTGGCCCGCTGTGAACATGAGGCTGATGGGGACTGGAGGGGACTCATGCAGAGGCGACTAACACACACGCCAGCTAGGCCACAGCGCTGGGACCCATGCAGCACGGCCACTTTCTGCACACAGCAAAAGCTGCCTACACAGCAACATCAGCACGCAACCCACACCGGCGTGACTGCCAGGGTTCACAGAGGGAAATTTGGCTTTGTTTTGAATGAGCTATGGTTCTGAGCCAATTTATTTCACGGTATAGTTCCATGGCTTCTCCCTGGGCTGCTGCAGAAGATGCACAAACTGCACAGCCCCAAGGGCGGCAGGCCCTCAAAGCCATGAACCCACGATCAAATGCCCAGGCCTGAGGCTGGGTGATCAAGTGTGCACCTTCTGCAGAGGGAGCTGCTCGCTCTTTTTGCATTTTTATCCCTAGAATAGAAGCTGCAGACACTCGCAAAAGAAAAGGGCTGAGTCAAGGGAGAAAGCACTGGACTCCCTCCCACCCGAAAGGAAACAACGACCAAAGGAAAAAAAGAAAAAATCAAAATCAAAAGAAAACTGGAGGGAAGAAAACCGACTGAACTTACCACACTGCGAGTGAACTTTTCTAGGGAAGTTCTACGACCTTGCTCACTTTCTGGCTTTAGGAAAAAAAAAAAAAAGGTAGGGAGAAAAATACAGGAAAAAAAATCTTCAGCTTACACATGGTTTCCAAACAGCAGCAGCCGCAGCTAAAGAATAACAAAAACCAAAGCAAAATGGGGTGAAAAATGGGAAAAGAGAAGCAGCCAGTGCCGTTGGAAGAGTCAACGGGAGAGACAGAAGACAGAAGCCCACAAGAAACGGTGCTGCCTCCTTGGAGCAGTGAGCAGAGAAGAGGGTTTGCTTCCCCAGGGACCGTGAATTGCACTGTGGGGCTTGGATTAGAAGCCATCACGACTTTGCACAGGACTGCAGTTGGTGGGTTTGAGCAGCTTGCTTGCTGCTTTCAACCTGCCGTGCCCACAGGCAGGAGTCCTGGTGGTTGTGGCACCGAGGCCCTGGGGCCCTGGGGGCTCCAAGTCCTGACTCCTAACAGACTAGTTCTGAGGGCCAGGGGGGTGTGGGAGGAGAGGGATGTCAGGAAGTGGCCGCTGGGGAAGTGAAGTCATCTACTCATCCCTGAGTCTGGGTTAAGACTGTTTTCTCTCTTGCGATTTCCCTGCCCAGAGGCAGCCAGAAAATTTGCAAACTTCAGTGACTTCCTAATGACCCTCCTTCTGTGTCCTTAGAGCAAGGAGGGTCTACTCATGGCCTTTGCCATGGACAAAGGGTCTTGGGTCTCAGAAGACAATAAGTCTTCTGACAATGGGGATTGTTCTGAGAAACAGAAACTGTTCTTTCTGTATCCAAAAGGTGACATAACACCTGCCAAGATGTGAGCAGGACAGGCTAGAGGAAGCTCAGAAACCACGGTGGGAAGCTCTTAGCTGGGGAGCCCAGAACAGGGGCGAGCAGAGGCAAAGCTCTTGACTGTCTTCCCAGGCTTAGCCTCCCCCCACTACAGGAGGAAGAGAGGTGTGGGGTGCTCCTGACCTTCCCTTCACCCTGCATTTCCTACCTTCAGGGGTTCCGGGAGAGCAGAATGACTGCCCAAATACCTGCTGGTGTATCCTGGAGCCCCATTCCAGGGTCCTGAGCCCGAGGCTGAGAAGTTCGGAGAGTGCACACACTCACATAGACGCACACATACACCCAGCAAATAACTGAAATGAGGGAGCTAAAGAGGCAGCCAGGTGTCTGTGGGTCTGCAGATTGTGCTGAGAGCAGAGGGGACAGGCCACACGCAGCTGCCTGTCTGTGTGGATGAAGTCGGGGGCGTCCTTGGCAGCCAGGCCCCTTGTCAGCTCAGCCGGCTGCCAGAAGACAGATACAAGGTCGCAGAAAGAAAATACAACACAAACGACACACCACCAGAGAGTTGGGCTGAGCTTGCTTTTGCACTAGAAACTGAAGGACTCATGCTTGACCCCGGCTACCATACCAAGTCTCCATTCTGGGGAGGGCAAGACTCAGCTTTAACCCTGTGGCCAGCCTGGGTGGCATGCATTTGGCTCAAGCCCGGCCAGTCCTGGCCCTGCAGCTGCCATTCTCGGTCTATCACTCTTGGCCTCTGGCTCACAGAGGGCAGCCACTGGTCTGGCTCACTTGGGCTCCTCTGCCTTGCACTGGTCACTGAGCTGACCTGGAAAACCGTCACTGGGACAAGTTTCCTAAAATAGCCCTCAGGACTCAGCTCACCTGCCCCCTGAGAACCTGTTCTTCAGTGTGACTATCACTGATTTTGAAAATATTAGAAAAGAGGCTGTGCCTCAAGACTCTGTCCAGGTCAGTTCTCAGCAGAAAAACGAGGCCGATTCATACTCCCCCTCTCTCCGCTGAGGTTGTGAATCTCACATACCTTTTATGACCTGGATACAGTGAGCCCATCCCTGAAATCAGACGAATACTCTAGGCCTACCTGAAAGTGCTGAGTTACAGATCAGATCCATACCTGGAGACTCTCAGGAAGAAATAGAAGAAAGTAGGTTTTGTCACTGTTCTGGGAAGCAACTCCTCGGTATTGAAACGTTGGTTTCTGCAAAGGTTTCCTGTCTCAAGAACATCCCTGACTTCGGGAGCTGGGAGGATCATTCTAAGGAACTTTTACCAGGCAGGTTGCCTGTTCCCTCCTCACTCCGATGACCTCCTCTGAGAGGTTTTCTTCTTGGAAGGGAGGATCTGCAGGCACCAGGGTCTCAGCACAGTTTGGGTACACTTTTCCTTCATGTTGAAACCCACAAGGAGAATGAATGGCCTCTAGCTTCTCCTCTTTGAGGTATGTAAACAGGCCCAGATTGGTCACACTGCTAGAGCCTTAAAATGTCCCCAAATTGTGATCAGGTCAGGTGTCTTGAGCCACAGAAAACAAGGAAAACTTTCTTTGACCTTTGCCCATGAGATCTGGGCTGGGGATATCAAAAGTTCCTATAACCTTTCTTTCTTCTAGTTCTTAGAAAAAATGGGCATTAGAGCCATGTCTGGTGGTGTCAGCCTCCTCCAAAGGAGCCTCTCCATTGACATCCTCCAGGGGGAGTTGACAGGGGACCAGGCTCCACACTGTCCATCACAGTAGCCACACCTGAGGGGGAGGGATGCAGGAAGCCCAGAGAGCTGAGCTGTTGACAACTGGGATGCCCCAGAAGTCCTCTTCCCTTTCTCAGACTATGGCCTCTTCCCAGGGGTACGCAACGGCAGGAGCTGTGTGGGCAAGGGACTCTGGAGCTGTGTGGTCCCTACCAGATATGCAGACAGGATCCTGGCACATGAGCGTGACGGCACACAGAGAGAAGGCTTGCATGGCTGAGAGGCAGCCCAAAGGAGAGTGTGGGATGGGCATCCATGTGCTTAGGGTCTGGCGCTGGGAAGCCAGGAGGGAGGAAAAAGGGATGCATGTGCTTTTAAGTGGCATGGCACAGAAGTCGTGGGGTTTTATGCAAATTGAGCCACACTTAACCACACATGGGCCTCAGATCAGAGCTGAAAAGCACAGAGGGTGGGCAGGCAGACTGAAACCAGGAGCCCTCTCTCTTGCCCTCCATTCCCTTCCTGGACCCTATTCCCCTGCATGCTGAGGGCCCCTGCACCACAAATCCATCACTCCACGGGCCGCAAGAAACCATGGCTGAGTTCTAAAGAGGAGGAGGAGGAAGGAGCTGGGCGCAGGTACTTCTTGGTTAAGAGAGAAAAGACAGTGGGGCAGGTGAGGGAGAGGAAGGGGGCGTCCAGGAGGGAGAAACCCCAGGATGACTTCAGGTACTGGATCGTGCTCTTGATACCGACAAGACTTTCTGTCCAGTGAGGGAGCTGCCCCAACCGTGGCCTCATCCTTATCTCTGGGCTGGTCAGGGAGAGAAGTCTGAGGGGAGGGTTCTGGACTTTGCAGTGAGGGGCTCTCTCCAGTGTCCTGAGGGTTTTGCAGATGCTGCTGTCAGCCCCGTGCTCCTGTGCTGAGCCACTGTGGCCTTGGCATTTTGTCACCCCACATACCCACCCCCGCCATGGGCGGGACATGCAGACAGAGGCAATAGGGATGTGGAGGCAGGATGTCCCACCCTGGACTTAGCAGCGGGGTTGGGGTGCTGACCATCCTAACTAACTGTTTTCCATTAGAATGGGAGCAGACAGAGAAGGGAAAGAAGAAAAGAGGAAACAAAACCCAAGGGATGACATTCTCATTTCAAACCAGCAGCAAGCAGCAGGCAAGAGTAAACAGTGCTAAGAAGGGCAAGCCTGCCCTTCCCAAAGATACCTTCTTCTTGGCCAGCAGCAAGTCCTGGTAAGCATTTGACCGGAGGAAGCGGGCATAGCTGTCACTTTTCATCAGCTTGTAGATGTGCTCCTGGGGAGGAAGGTGACAAGGAGACACAAGGAAGGACTGTCAACCAGTGATAAAGAATACTACAATCCAATTGGTCACTCTTTGGGGGAAAGAGACGAAGGAACCTAAGTCTGTTTGCATGTACCTAGAAAAACTGGCAGCATGTTCCACCCCCACACCCCCAAACTCAGAAGCACCAAACAAATAAAAGATCCCTGAGAATCATATCCCAAGGGATTTGTAACTGGACTTGGGTGTCATGTTGGGGTGCCTAATGATTACAACCAGACACGGCAATGAGAAGGAACAAACTGTTCTTACACCCAACAGCTTGGATGATCTCAAGGGAATTATGAGTGAAAAAGCCACGCTCCAGATTATCAACTATATTATTTCATGTATGTAACATTCTTGAAATGACAAATTAGAGAGATAAAGAGCAGATTAGTGTTGCTGGGGTTAGAGATGAGTAAGGACAGGGAGCGAGGGAGGTATGGTTATAAAAGGCAACAGGAAGTATCTTTGTGGTGACAGAATGGTTCTGTATTTTGACATGTCTTAGCCCACATGATAAAGTTGTATGGAACTAAATGCACACATACATGGGGTACAAGTAAAGTTGAGAGATGAATAAAGTCAGGGGATTGTAGCCATGTCCATCTCACAGCTGTGATACTGTTACTATAGTTTTGCAAGATGTTGCTGTTGGGGAAAATTGGGTAAACAGCACATTATTTCTTACAACTGCATCAGAATCAATATGTATCTCAAAAAGTTTAACTGAAAAAAAAAAAAACACAAAAAACAGGCAACTGGCATTTCTGCCAAGATGGCCCAATAGGAACAGCTCCAAAGCGCAGTTCCCAGAGAGAGGGATGCAGAAGGCAAGTGATCTCTGCATTTCCAACTGAGGTTCCAGGTTCATCTCATTGGGACTGGTTAGACAGTGGGTGCAGCCCAAGGAGGGTGAGCCGAAGCAGGGTGGGGCATCACCTCACCTGGGAAACACAAGGGGCTGGGGAACTCCCTCTTCTAGCCAACGAAGCCATTAGGGACTTTTCCCGACACTCTGGCATTCTGGCTCAGATACTGTGCTTTTCCCATGGTCTTCGGTCTTCACAACCCACAGACCAGGAGACTCCCTCTGGTGCCTACAACACCAGCACCCCAGGTTTCCAGCACAAAACTGGGTGGCCATTTTAGCTGCAGGGTTTTTTTTGTTTGTTTGTTTTGTTTTCCTTATATCCCAGTAGCACCTGGAACGTCAATGAGACAGAGCCACTCATTCCCCTGAAAAAGGGGGCTGAAGCCAGAGAGCCTAGAGATCTGGCTTGGCAGGTCCCACCTCCATGAAGACCAGCAAGCTAAGATCCACTGGCTTGAAATTCTTGCAGCCAGCACAGCAGCTCGACCTGGGACATTCGAGCTCAGTAGGGGAAGGGGGTCCACCATTGCTGAGGCTCTGGTAGGCAGTTTTAACCTCGTCTATGTAGGCAAAGCCCCTGGGAAGTTTACACAATAACTGGGTGGAGCCCACAGCAGCTCAACATGGCCTCTGCAGGCAGACAGTCACTAGACTCCCATCTTGTTGGGCAGGCCATCTCTGAAAAAATGCAGCAGCCCGTCAGGGTTGTTTTATTTATTTTATAAATAAAACACCCACCTTCCTAGGACAGAGCATCAGGGAAAAGGGGTGGTTGTGGGTTCAACTTCAGCAGACTTAAACATCCCTGCCTGGTAGCTCTGAAGGGAGCAATGGATCTCCCAGCACAGTGCTCAAGCTCCAATAAGGGACAGATTGCCTCCTTAAGTGGCTCCCTGATCCCCATGTATCCTGACTGGGAGACACCTCATACAGGAGAGCTCAAGCTGACATATGGCAGGTACCCTTCTGGGAGGAAGCTTCCAGAGGAAGGAAGAGGCAGCAATCTTTGCTATTCTGCAGCCCCCACAGGTGATTCCCAGGCAAGCAGTTTCTGGAGTGGATCTCCAGCAAACTCCAGCAGAGGGGCCTGTTAGAAGGAAAACTAACAGAAAGAAATAGGTTCAACATCAACAGAAAAGTCCACTCAGAGACCCCATCCAAAGGTCAGCAACTGCAAAGATCAAAGATAGATAAATCCATGAAGATGGGAAAAAAACCAGTGCCAAAAGGCTGAAACCTCCAAAAACCAGAATGCCTCTTCTCTTCCAAGGGATCACTACTCCTCGCCAGCAAGGGAACAAAACTGGATGGAGAATGAGTTTGATGAATTGACAGAAGCAGGCTTCAGAAAGTGCATAATAACAAACTTCTCTGAGCTAAAGGAGCATGTTCTATCCCAATACAAGGAAACTAAGAACCTTGAAAAAAGGTTAGATGAAATGCTAACTAGAATAACCAGCATAGAGAAAAACATAAACGACTTGATGGAGCTGAAAAACACAGGACAAGAACTTTGTGAAGCATACACAAGTTTCAATAGCCAAATCAATTAAGCAGAAGAAAGGATATTAGGGATTGAAGATCAACTCAATGAAATAAAGCAAGAAGGCAAAATTAGATAAAAAAAAAAAGTGAAAAGAAATGAACAAAGTCTCCAAGAACAATGGGATTATGTGAAAAGACCAAGTCTATGTTTGATCAGTGTACCTGAAAGTGACAGGAAGAATGAAACCAAGTTGGAAAACACTCTTCAGGATATTATGCAGGAGAACTTCCCCAACCTAGCAAGGCAGGCCAACATTCAAATTCAGGAAATATAGAGAACACCACAAAGATATCCTTCGAGAAGAGCAACCCCAAGACACACAGTCTTCAGATTCACCAGGGTGGATATGAAGGAAAAAATGCTAAAGGCAGCCAGAGAGCATGGTTGGATTACCCACAAAGGGAAGCCCAACAGACTCACAGTGGATATCTTTGCAGAAACCCTATAATCCTGAAGAGAGTGGGGGCCAATATTCAACATCGTTAAAGAAAAGAACTTTCAACCCAGAATTTCATATCCAGCCAAACTAAGCTTCAAAAGTGAAGGAGAAATAAAATTCTTTATGGACAAGCAACTGCTGAGAGATTTCATCACCACCAGGCCTGCCTTATAAGAGCTTCTGAAGGAAGCACTAAACATGGAAAGGAACAACCAGTACCAGCCACTGCAAAAACATACCAAATTGTAAAGAGCATTGACACTATGAAGAAACTGCATCAACTAACAGGCAGAACAACCAGCTAGCATCAATATGGTAGGATCAATTCACACATAACAATATTAACCCTAAATGTAAATGAGCTAAATGCCCCAATCAAAAGACACAGACAGGCAAATTGGATAAAGAGTCAAGACCCTTTAGTGTGCTACATCCAGGAGACCCATCTCATGTGGAAATATACACACAGGCTCAAAATAAAGGGATGGAGGAAGGTTTACCAAGCAAATGGAGAGCAAAAAAAAAGCAGGGGTTGCAATCCTAGTCTCTGATGAAACAGACTTTAAACCAACAAAGATCAAAAGAGACAAAGGCAGTAATGTCGTACAGGGAGGGATCCAAGATGGCCGATTAGCTGCAGCTCCCAGCAAGAGTGTGGAGGGTGAGTGGACACTGCATTTCCAGATGGATTTTTATTGCCCACAGACCAGGAGATTCCTGGGTGGAGGAGCCCCACGGGTCGCCAGGGCGGCTGTTTTGGCGGGTCTCTACACAAAATACATGGATCTGGGCACCGTTTTAGTTGGCGATTGGAGCGCCTGGGAGACACAGTTGCCTGTTCAACTGATAAAAAGGGGACTGAAACAGGGAGCCAGGCCAGGAGATTCCTGGACGAAAAAGTGCCATAAATCTCCAGCACAGCTGTTTCAGCCAGCACAGTGGGTCACTGCTTGGGAAATCACACAGATCCGGGCGCCTTTTCAACAGGTGACTGGAAAGCCTGGGAGATAGAGTCGCCCATTCAACTAAAAAAAAAAGGGGACTGAAACAGGGAGCCAGGCCAGGAGATTCCTTGGCGAAAAAGTGCCATGAGTCTCCAGCGGCTGTTTCAGCCGGCGCAGTGGGTCTACGCACAAGAAATCGTGTAAATCTGGGCACCATTTCAACTGGTGACTGGGACACCTGGGAGACAGAGTCACCCATTCAACTGAGAAAAAAAAGGGGTCTGAGGCAGGGAGCCAGGTGATCAGGCTCAGCCAGTCCCACCCCCACAAAAAACAACAATCTGAAACACTCTGGATTGAGAGTTTCACACCAAGCACAGCTGAACCCAGGATAATCCAGCTCTGTGGGGGAGGGGCGTCCACCATTATTGAGGCAGTCCACCATTACTGAGGCAGTCTGCCATTACCGAGGCAATCTGCCACTACTGAGGCAGTCCGCCATTACAGAGACAGTCTGCCATTACTGAGGCAGACAGCCATTACCGAGGCAGTCCATCACTACCGAGGTAGTCCGCCATTGCTGAGGTGGCCCGCCATTGCCAAGGCAGTCCACCATTGCAGAGACAGTCTGCCATTACAGAGGCAGGCTGCCATTGCCGAGGCAGTTCTAACTATACCCCGATAAACAGGACTGCAGGGAAGTCCACACAGCAGCTGGGCAGAGCCCATCAGCAGCTTAGCAAAGCCTCTGCAGGCAGACTGTGACTAGGCTGCCTTGTCGCTGGGCAGGGCAGCCCTGAAAAAAGGCAACAGCACAACAAAAACTTATAAATAAAGCCCTACCTTCCTGAGACAGAGCACCTAGGGGAAAATAAGGCATTTATGAGTTGTGCTGCAGCAGACTTACACATACCTGCCCAGCAGCTCTGAATGGAACAACGGAGCTCGCAGCTCAGCACTTGAGCTCCTATAAAGGACAGACTGTCTCCTCAAGCAGCTCCCTGACCCCTGTATATCCAAAGAGTCATCTCATAAAGGAGAGCTCAGACTGACATCTGATGGGTAACCTTCTGGGACAAAGATAGCAGAAGAAGAAACTGGCAGCAGCCCTTACTGTTCTGCAGCTGCTGCAGGTGATCCCCAGGCAAACAGGGCCTGGAGTGTACC